CAGTAATATATTTTGGGAAAGTTCATATAGGTTACAGATAACTAAAAAAACTTTGACTCTCTGAGGAGTCAGACAGGTCGCAGTACTTTTTCAATAGAGCTAAATGAATGGAAAATAAAAGAATGAATGAATGAATGGATGGATAATACAATAACAGTTATGTGTAATTTAATTACATAATTTTGTTACATGTCACTAGTCAGTCTCCAACACTGACCACAAATATAATGTTATTTTATTTTTCATTATATTTCCTGGACTATTTTATGTCTCAGACGTATTTAATGAACATTGTTGACGGAGCCTGAGATCTAGGATTTTCATTTTGCCATCAACTGCTCCTCTGTAATTCATGTGCATCTGACACTAAAATATGAATACTTGATGTCATTATTATACATTATCTTGGATATCAAACTAACATCAAAATCTAGGGGGTTTGAAGTTCAAGTCATTCGCAATCACAAGTGACGACAATCTAGTTTTAAGACTTTAATTTATTTGTTCATGTTGTGGTCACATGGTTCATGTGGGATGTGGGTGGCTGAATAATTAGAATCATCTCTATTATTTATTTGTTTACACACATACAATGAATTTGGTTTTAAATTGCTCTCAATGTACAAAAGCACAGTTCAGTAACAGACAGATTCTCCATCCAGTGAATATCAACAAGTCTGTGCAGGACGAATTTTCATATTTGAGGCCTATGCAAACTACACCTGTTTGTTTCACTGTGCAGTCATCAAGCTGCTCTGCGCTCCTCATGGTGTGTTGATATTTGATTCTTATCTCAGTTCAGTTTAATCAAATGAAACGTGCCCCTTCATTGTAAATAGGAAGTAGATAACGTTGGCTATATGGCTCCAAAGTTCAGACTTTTACAGTGTCACGCAGTTCCTTAGGGAAACACACAAAGCAGTATTTGGACTTCTGCAATAAAACACACCTTACACATAATGGTTTCACCCACACTCAGTGGTTCAAAGGTAAACTAGGTCTTAAGAGCCACAGGGAGCCACAGGCTAGTATATGGACATGACTTTTTTTTTAACATCTTAATCACAATTTTTCAGTGTTAGTGTTGTAGGCCTAAAGAAATCCCTTCATTCTCCAAATGTAAAAATTTGAAGCCTACCTACCAAGTAAAAAACATGTTTTAACATTCCATCTAAATCTTCCTGGCACCTTTTCCTTGAAACTTTGCCAAACCTTGACAGCAGTAGCTCGTCTTGAGTCTCCCTAGCTGGTTAGCTATGGGTGCTAAATCCAAAAAAGTAAAGGCCTCATAATAAAATACAGAGTTTAGTAGTGCATGGACAGATTTGTTCGCTTTCACTGCCAGCTCTGCAGAGTTAAAGTAGTAAATGATCATAAATGGTGTCCTGCAGTCACCTTGTGGTAAAACAGATTAATGAATGCTCATTTAGACTATTAGTATAGACTAATTTAGACTTAACAGGCTATGTTACCTTCAAATATGTTTCTGTTTTTGGTCAAAAATGACAAGTAAAGGTTGCTGACTCTTTTGTTAGGGGAACCTAAGAGTTTGAAGCGGCTCAGCATGTGTGGTGAGGACTAAACTCAGTGACAGTAGAATCTGTAAAGTATGATCCTGGTGATGTAACAACGGCATGGAAACTATTCATACACACAGTATTTATTCTTTGCTGATAAAACATGGCAGTAACTACCAGTGCACTGACTTTAAATAGTCTTCAGGCAGTAAGAAGCCACTAGGGGTCCGCAGGTGCTCTGCTCCTTTCTCACTGTGGTGGCTTGAAAGATGAATTCACAGAGAGCAAGTTGTTCTTCGGAGTTTTATCGCGAATGAACATGAAGTTTCATGCGTCATAACATCACATCCCTTATTCTCACCCTTGTTTTTACCTAGTATTTCATAATATATCTTTAAAATATAGATATGACTGTGTGTGTGGTCGTGAAAAATGATGTGATGAGCTTATGCTAGTGTGCCTTGGTGCATGTGTACATATTCATATGCTGCTAACTGGATTGCTCCAACAAAGTTTCACTGTATAACCAACACATTGTCACTCCGACCTCGTCACATATTGACGTTTGGTCATGGACTTTCCACGTCCAGATACGACGCCCAAGGTACCCTGGGTGTGTTGGTTGTTGCCGCGTAAACATCAGCCTGTTACATGCATTGTGTTCTTTCGAAATAAAATAAAAGCAATACGTCGGTACAACATCGCAAATTGATGTTTGTTTTCCCTCAACAACAAACACATGTGGTTGGGTTTAGGAAAAACGACCAGGGTTTGGCTTTAGAATCGTACGGGACACAAACACCATTCTCTCAGGTGAAAGTTGGTGGTTGTTGGACCCATCTACCACCCCTCCCGCCCACTCCAGTTGGACTTTTGCCGCCTTAACTTTCGTCCTTGTCCTGCTGCGTTTCCCCCTGACGCCACCAGGTGCTGGTAAACTATAATGACAACCGGCCACGTATCATGCTGACTTAAAGGATGCCTTTTTTGACACCGCAAGTCACTGCCCAAGCGCTGGATTTCGACGACTTTGGAGTGAGACCAGGCTCAATATTCAGTGATTATTTGTACATGAAGTTACATGCATCATAATATAATAATATCTATCCCTTCACTGTTTCATCCGCCGCTTCACAACCTTACATTTGGCAGTGCTGAGAACAAAACGCTGAATGGTGGAATCTAAAACTAAGCTTCTAATAACAGCGTCTGTAAAACAGCAGCTAAACACCTTCACACAGGAAGCAGAGAAAGACAAGGCAGTCATCATAAATCATTAAGGGTATAAACTGCCACAACACTAATATATGACTTAATTATACCTCCTGTTTTATCTTAACAATGTTAGCATCTACTTCGTCTGTTTCTTTCCTGGTTCCTCACCTGTTGAGTTTGTGTTAGGATTCCTTCTGTGTTCTTTGTTCAGGAGGTTTTTATCAGGAGCTGAATTATCCACAGAGTCACTTCCTCTCCAAAACAAACACACCTGGTGATTAACACGAGTAAAAACACTGAATAAACCAGTTTCATGTTACAAATCTGGATTTCTCTGATGTTGGCGTGTTGGAGACAAGCTGCTACAAACACCTGCTAATCTGTGCTCACCTTTTTTCTCTGATAACTTGAGATCCACTCAATCAGGAGGTTTTTACCAAGAACTGAATTATCCACAGAGGTCTCCATCTCTTCACAACAAATGGACGAATGAAGTGATTAAAACTTGTGAAAACACTTAATAGAGCAGTTTCATGTTGTAAAAAAATCTGTGTTTTTCGCCCCGGTCTCACCCCAGTGACTGACTGTGTCAGTGACTTCTGGCATCAGACACAGCTGACAAAAGCTGTCCTTTCACGTCCGCATGATACGCAGCTGGTCGCCATTATTGTTTAACAGCGCTTGTCTGCATCAGGGGGAAACGTGTTGGGACAATAACGAAAGTTAAGGCAGCAGAAGTCCGAGTAGTGTGGGTGGGTCCAGCAGCCACCGACTTTCACCAGGGAGGCCGGTGTTCGCTTTCCGTAAGAGTGTAAAGCCAAACCCTGTTCTTTTTTCCTAAGCCCAACCACGTGCCTGTTGGCAAAAGGTAACTACGTGCGTTTGTTGTTGAGGGAAAGAAATGTCACTTCACAGTGTTGTACCGACATAGTGCTTTTATTTTGAAAGAGACTGTATGCAAACTGTACATTTCCGGGGAAAATTGAAGACGATACATGTAACAGGCTGAAGTTGACACGGTGTCCCAGAACGTCAACAACCAACACACCCAGGGTACCTTGGACGTCGTATCTGGACGTGGAAAGTCCATGACCAAACGTTGATATGTGACGAGGTCGGAGTGAGAATGTGTTGGTTTCCAAAACTGCCCGTTGCGAAGGGGCTGCTAACTACAGTGGCAGAACCAGCCTTTGGTTTGTCTGTTCTGGGCTACTGTAGAAACATGGCAGTGCAACACACACACACGCACTCGCACACACAGTTTAAAAGAATTAAAATAAAGCAAACATCAGGGGAAAATGATCCAAAGATATAATGCTAACAGTCAAATTTGCACACACTATGTTCTTTTGTTTATTTCTCATTACCTTTTTTTTCTTTCGTTTGTAATAAATGCAATAAATTCAATAATTAATAATTATGGTGGTGGGGGCACCAGGGGAAGCTTGCCTTGGGGCCCCAATGTGCCAGGTCCAGCCCTGTACTGTTGTGTTACTGAAGTCTTTTTGTACAGTGCACTCTTTGTATTGGCACTCCTTTCATTTTTATTGCAACTGCTGCACTGCAATTTACCTCGTGATTAGTAAGGTTATATTTTATCACAGGCTACCTCTCTGAGCTGACCTTTGGAGCCAGAAGAACCTGTTTAACCCCGTGATTCACCTCCCCTGCCTTCATTCCTGTTCATTTTAAATGCCACTTAGGTCAAATATTTTAGCTGATTTCTTTTTAAAAATGTGTTATTGATGATTAATGCCTTTCTGTTTACACACCCAGCACAATGAATGGGTGAAGACATCTCCTCCGTATCACTAGATCAGTAGGTTTTGCCTCCTCCTCATCCTCAGAGGCCCAGTCTCACCTGACTGACTGACTGACTGCATTTCCACAGGCACAAAAAGATTCTTGAGATTCTCTGAGCTTCAGTGTCACAGTTTGCTTTAACCTTTACAGTCCTCTCTGTCTTCCTTTAGTGAGTTCAGGTGACTCCAGCCACGAGGTTTCCATTCATCCTCTTTAATCAGATGCGATGTCTGTTTAGGAGTATGTGTAATTTACGCGCAGCTCTATTCGCGCTCTTTTATCCACTTTCACAATATGCTTCGTGTAATAACAGTCTTTGGTCAACATGGCTGGTGAGCTATCAAATACCAGACAACAGTTTTTACAGCTTTTATCGATAATTAGTGCAGTTAGCAGCTTCCCTGAGCCCCTCCCTCTTTCCGGGTTATTTGTGAGTGCGCAGCGCTGTCCCCTCCTGTACGACACACACAGACCTGCAGCAGGCTGACTCTCAGAGCGCTTCTTGATCCTCTCAATGTTCTGAATAACCATGTGGCACATTAAATCTCTTGACACGATTAATGGAGAGCGTGTTGAAGTTTTCAAACGATGTGGAGCCAGTGGTGCGTAAAGATTGGACATGACATGGCACGGAGGATAAACGTCCACTCTTCTTACCTCTCCTGACATCGGTAAGTTTCTTTTTTGCTCTTGAAACGATTCATTATTAAGAAGCTTTATTGTCTGAGCTGCAAACTCAGAAACTGGTTCATGAAATCTGAATTTATCCTCGTTTTTACAACTTTCAGGGTGTGACTTGATGAAACGGGCTGTCGGCGTCTGGCGGACCGGTACCTGCTTATGGAGCAATGTGAGTATTTGATCATGATTGGCTACAGCAAGGCCGTAACCATGGAGACAACACTGGGGGGAGGCAACTCATTTCCTACTTTATTATATTATTTACTTATCAGAAGGAAGTACAGCTACACAGTATACAATATGAATATGAAATAAGACTTCACATATCTGACACATATAAGATAATAAAGACATTAAAGGTCCAGTGTGTAGGCGTTTGAGGACATGTTGGCAGAAATGGAATATAATAAAAAAAAAAGTATGTTTTCTTTAGTGCATCATCACCTTAAAATAAGAAAGGTTGTGTTTTCACAACACCTTCTCACACCGATCTCGTCACATATCAACGCTTGATCATGGACCTTCATCGTCCAGAGACGTCCAAGGTACCCTGGGTGTGTTGGTTGTTGACGTCCTGGGACACCGTGTCAACTTCAGCCTGTTACATGTATCGTCTTCTTTCAAAATACACTTCTGTTTTCACATGAAATTTCCAGTTTGCACACAGTCTCCTTCAAAATAAAAGCACTATGTCGGTACAACACCATACATTGATGTTTTTTTTCCTCCAACAACAAACACACGTGGTTACATTTAGGAAAAATGAACAGGGTTTGGCTAAAGAATCGTACGGGACGCCGACACCACTCTTTCGGGTGAAAGTTGGTGTTTGTTGGACTCATCCACCACCCCTCCCACTCACCCTAGTTTGACTTCATTGCCTCAACTTTTGATCTCATCCCGCGGGGTTTCCCCCTGATGCCACGAGCACTGTTAAACTAGAACGGTGACTGGGCGCATGTCACGCCGACATGTCTGACGCCACAACTCGCTGCCCAACTGACTTTGGAGTGAGACTGCTGGCTTCGTTTTCGTTACCTTAGAATGAGCTGTTTATATCTACATGGAGCGGGTCTTCATCTATGGAGATCACAATAATGCACTGCCTTGTTTCTACAGTAGCCCAGAGCAGACAAACCCAACACTGGCTCTAGATAGGGACATTTGCATGTTTTGCATCAGCCACTGCAGTGAGCAGCCCCTCTGCACCGAGCAACATCAGAAAAATCTTTTAACCTGACACTGATTTATTTAGTGTTTTTGCGGCTTAAATCACCTGGTGCATTTGTTTTGGAGAGGAAGAGACCTCTGCATATAATTCGGTTCCCAGTAAAAACCTCCTCAACATCTGGATCTTAAGTTATCAGAGAAAAAGGTGAGCACACATAAGCAGGCGCTGGGTCGGCAGCCAGTCTCTGAAATGCCAAACAGTGCAGGACAAACACTGATTTGTAACATGAAACTGTTTTATCTTTTTGAACCAGTTTAAAGTTCTCCTTTGTTTTGGAGAGGGAGAGACTACTGTTAATAATTTGGTTCCCAATAAAAAAACCTCCTGAATATCTTGATCAGAATTAAGGTGAGTACAAATTAAGTTATCAAAGAAAATAAGTGAGCACATATTTGCAGGTGCTTGTCCAGCAACCTGCCAAACAGTGTCAGGGAAACTGATTTGTAACATGTCCCGTGTTTTTACTGGTTTTAATCACCTGGTCTGATTGTTTTGGAGAGGAAGAGACCTCTGTGGATAATTCAGCAGTAATAATAGGCTGATAGCAGTTTGGTACATATCCTAATGATTGCACTGTTTGTCTCCCATAAAAAAGTGTTTGCCTCCTCCCTACCCCCCAGTGTTTGTTATAATTACTGCCTTAGGCTAGAGTACGCTTCAGTGAAATTAAAAAAAATCTTTCAGGTTTCAGTTTCTCACTTTAGGTGTTAGTGAATGCAAAGTCAAAGTTTCAGTATCTGCTTCCTCTCATCACACATTGTTTCCTCTCATCACAGAATGAATTTGAGATGGGCATTACTGAGACTAAGAAGAAAAGCCTTCATTTCTTCACTGCTGTCACTGCTGACTCTGTGTGTCCTGCTATTGCTCAGTGTCAAGTACAGATATGTCCCAGAGTCTGTATCTCCTACAGCAGCGTTACATGACATCCAGCTGTTTCACAAACACAGCATTAACTGTTTGGCTATATATGACATGGACCCAGTGGAGGTGGCCAAGTCGCTGATCATCAGACGGAAACACGTTGTGGAGGACAAGGATGAAAGTCTAGTTAACCTCACCTCAAACTGCTCATTATTCATCAAGTCCAGAGGTTACGATAACGTGTGTGAGTCAGTGGAGGAGAAAGCCTTTCCTCTTGCTTACTCGCTGGTTGTCCATAAATATGCGTGGATGGTAGAGCGGCTCATCAGAGCGGTGTACTCGCCCAGTAACATCTACTGTATCCACTACGATCAGAAGTCTTCAGCTCCGTTCATCTCAGCCATGGAGGGTTTGGCTCGCTGTTTGCCCAACGTCTTCATCGCCTCCAAGCGGGAGTCTGTCTTCTATGCTAGCATCAGCCGACTGAAAGCCGATCTCAACTGTCTGTCGGACCTTTTGGAGTCAGAGGTCAAATGGAAGTACGTCATCAACCTCTGTGGCCAAGATTTCCCCCTCAGGTCCAACATCGAGCTGGTGTCAGAACTTAAGAAGTTAAATGGAGCCAATATGCTGGAGACGAGCCGACCCAGTGAGCAAAAGAAGCAGAGGTTCAAGTTTCACTACGAGCTGAAGGACGCCAGCTTTGAATATCATAAACTGCCAGTGAAAACAGAGCAGTTAAAGACTCCACCGCCACACGGTATCGAAGTGTTCTCCGGTAATGCCTACTTTGTCTTGTCCCGGGACTTTGTTGTACACATGAACTCCTCAGTTGTGGTGAAGGATTTCTTGGCGTGGTCAGATGACACCTACTCTCCAGACGAACATTTCTGGGCCACACTTGTGCGACTGCCAGGTGTGCCTGGAGAGGTGCCCAGATCCCAGCCTGATATCACTGACCTGATGAGTAAGACCAGGCTGGTGAAGTGGCACTACCTGGAGGAGAAACTTTACCCAGCCTGCTCAGGGCAACATGTCCGCAGTGTTTGTATTTTTGGTGCAGCGGAAATGCGTTGGTTGCTCAACTACGGTCACTGGTTCGCCAATAAGTTCGATCCCAAAGTGGACCCCATTCTCATTCAGTGTCTTGAGGAGCAGCTGCAGGAAAGACAAAAGTTATTTCAATTAGCAGCAACTCACAACTGTCCAAAGGTTTGACCAAAAGCTACAGTATAATGTAGAGTAGCAATGACTTCATTTTTTGCCAGAAAGACAAAAAAAGACAATACTCCTACAGAGCTGTTTACATGGCTAATGGACATGAATACTCCACTTATATCCCCATGTACATGCAGCCGTGCATACTCTGGCCATTTTGTTTCTTTGCATCAAAATAGGATTTTCTCAAAGTTTTCCCTCCCTGGTGGACTTATTCGACTGTGTGCCTCCCTCTTACATTCCTTTAGCCACCTTCTTGAAAAGGTTGGCGTTGCGATATTTGCACATATACAAAAACCTGTCGATATCCAAGTCTTTCATAATGTTTAAAAGTAGATGTGTTTCTCCCTCCAACCAGAAACATGGGCGTTTTTTGGCATGCATCTCTACCCCGCCTTGCAAACTGTTGGCTAGTTGGTTTACGTACAACGCACAGAGCTGACCGTAAGGAGGCAACAGGTAGTGAGTCGCAACCTGTAGTAAAATACATGTCCAAAAAATGTTCTTAAATGCTGAATGGTATCGGCCTAAATCATGTAGGGATGTCAGCCAATAACCGTTAATTGGTTAACCGCTGAAAATATTTTTGACCGGTTACTCATGTCAGTCTGCTGGTTACCTTTACGTATTTTCTCATCAGCAGTGACACAGATGGAAGTCTGCACCTGGTTTATCGTCCACACAGGCTGCAGTGAGAGTCTCTCTCCATGGGATATTTTAAAAAAAAACAGCTTTGTGCATTTAGTCCTTCTCAGGCAAGCTCAGGGGTTTAGTGTTGCTGTAGCCCACAGGAACGACACTCCACGATATTTTGTATTTTGTTTTGTTTTGTATTGGAAGATCCACTCTTTGATAAAAGTGTACATCATCTAAGAGAGACAATAACTTCAACTCATGCATTGGGTAACATTACAAGTTAATGTTCCACCTTAAAACCACCCCTTTCTGTGGGTGCGTTTGGTAATACTTTGATAATAGCTAAGTTAGTGGTTTGAAATGCAGTGTTAAAGCTCACTGAGTCAATGGAGCGCCACACTAAAGGAAGGGACATGCTAAATGATAGCCAGCTGTTGCGTCGCCGTGTCTCAGCCAAAAAGTTGCACATGAACACACCGCAAAGACCACAGCCGACAGCCAACCAGCACATACGTTCTGCGCCTGCATGAGAGGAAATCATTTCACTCAAGAAGACGGCGGTAGTCTGCATTTGTTATTGAAAAAGGGAAACTTGAAGACTGTCTTGATGCTAGTTAGCCAGTTAGCACATCAACAGCGCAATTCAGTGGTGAAAGAACAGAGCGAGTTTGCCGTGTGCCAGTGACCAAAAACACAAACCATCATGAAACATTTCTGCTAAAGAGCTTGGTGGCAAAAAAAAAATTTTTTTTACCTTATATAACAAGTTTGTTTCAGCCTCACTTCCTCTGGACTTTAGTCGTTTGTTTACTTTCCTCACTTCTGTTTCTCTTCTTGTGCGCTGAGCTGAACTGACAGAGTGAGTTAATTTACTGACGGGCTCTGCCATTGCCGTCGCTGATTCAACATGCTGAGTCGGCCAAAAAAAAGCAGACGGGGGCTGATGAGGTCCCGCACAGACTGGGGCAACAGACGCTCACCAGTAGCCTAACATTGACCAATGGCCGACAGTCAGTTGGCGTGTCGTGGCCTTTACTGTGACATCATCATGTTCTGCATGAAACCCTTTTCTGGCCATTACGCAACATCATATCTCAGGAACAGAAGGAGAAGTATCTGGTGAAACTAATCTTGGGCATCCAACTTGAAACTGATTATATTGATGTTCTGCTTTTTTTGAATTTGATGTGTCATTGTCTTGGGTTTTTGGCAGTTATGAAAGGCATTTCAGTTTGTTGTTTTATAAACCTAATGATTAATTAATAATGAAAATAATCATTGAAACCTTAATAAACAAAACAACATGACATTGTGGAGATGGTTTCTTTCTTACTATAATCAGTGTAGCATTTTTTAAAAGCACTTTAAGAGCCAACATGAGTGTGGTGCTGGTATTTTGAATCATAAGGATCAGCTCACCAAATTTATTACAAAAGACATTCTCACTTATCTGTAGTGGTGTGTAGCCTCACATATGTTTGTTTTATTTGACCAGGTTTTAAGATAATTGTTTATCACGTCTCAACACCAAAATTCAGTGGAGGTGAATTTGTGCTAACAGCAATTACTTTTTTTTTATTTCATACTTTGTCCTTTTCAGCCCTCTAACCAGACTCAGAATGGTGACTCAGCACTTTTTGGGCATATGTGAACACTCCAAGAGAAGTCAGACCACTCTGAAGTGAACCTTGGGAGCTGGTCTGAGTTTGGTTCACTTCAATGGTCACAGAACGCTCCAGGTTCATGTTGCTCTTTGCTGTTGTATGCAGCCCTCTAGCCTCTCTAACTCCGGCAGGACGCCGACATCCTCGCTCCTCCTCCTCCTCTGTTAAATGGTATCTCCCAGATGCACCACACCATCAAACCATGTGATGTTTGGTATTGCCGGATTCAGGAAGCTCTCGACTTTTCAAAAATAACATAATTTTTCTTTTATTTATTAAGTATTTCACACCAGAGCAGCCTAAACACACAAAGTCCAAAATCGCGATGAGTGGTGACAAGTCATGTCATGCCGTTTTTTGACGGGAAAAGTTAAAGGATTACTCGTGATCTTATGTGGAGCTGTTAGCGGGGACTTAGCTGGTTTATAGAAAGTAAGAGTCTCACTCCTACCACTATTTTTGGCTGAGATATATCGTCCAGAAAGTGGGATCATAACTTTCACGTTTCATATGGCTTTATTTGGTGATATTTTATGGTGTTTCTGTGTCATAAACAACATCAGCTATCACAATCACACCTGATTTCAATAAGGTACAATGTTTGAAGCTGGCTGAGTGTTGTTTGATCACTGATAGTACTGTTTTGAAGCCGAGTGACCGATTTGTCATTTGGAGCTCCGTCTGGATCTTTTCATGGAAAAAACACTGTAGAATGGTCATACTTTGTGCAATCTTCTTCAAATTTGAAACAAGTGTTCATTGATAGTGTGCCTACAGCCCCACAGTGTCATTTACCTGCTCAGATGAAGCCACAGACAGTTATTCATCCTGAAAAACATTTTTTATTTTATTTTAGGCAAAATCTTCAATTTTTAACTGACTTCAGAGGCCCATTACTCTGTCTCTGTATCACCTAGAGTGTTTCTGACACTTTCACAAGAAACTTCAGTGAGTTTTCTTTCTGGCAAGACCTCATGCATGCATGTAGTCAGAGTGGTTCAGAAGCTACAGTCATTTTAATTTGGGTATGTCATTTTAGGCGTTTTCGCTTCAAAATGGGGATGGAGGGCAAGAGGCTAGATCACATGCTGTTGACCTGGGACACAAAAAACAGATGAAACCATGTCGGCCTGTAATGCTTGCAAGGACGCAGGACGAGGAGTAGTTTGGTCCATGGAAGATACTGCACGTCTCCAGATGTTCAATGGAGAATACATCAAACTGCAACAGTCTACAGCACAGAAACACTGAGGGTTTCTTCCAATGTTAAGTTCATCTTAAAGCGAGGGGCTTCGTAACCTCACTACAGGGCCACATCAAAGTAAAAACAAGTCAACATATATTATATATAGGCTATAGTTTGAACAGAGAGAGGACTGAGGCCCCATCAGAGCTGAAGTTGACCAGAAAGAGAACTGAGTTCTCTTTCAAATGAACTGACAATGTGTTCACAGTCCCTTTTATGTTGGTCCACGTTTTGGTGCACTTCAAAATGACTGAGTTTGGTTGGTTTAAAAAGGACTAAATGTGAAAACACCCTAAATGAAGCTCTTTTATTCCAGACAGCTCACTGTGAACCAACGACTTTCATCTTGAAACTATGCTGATTGTATAGATCTTCTGTTCTGCTGTCGAGGGACAGGCGTTAATTCTTGGTTGTTGTTTTTTGTTTGTTTGTTTGTTTTTCTGTGCTTTGTGCACCACAAGCCAAGTCCCATCTAGTTCCATTATATTGGAGAGAAAGACATCTCTGCAGTCCGTATCTCCAACACCCAGCAACTCACACCAATACAATCCAGACTGATAAACTGTACCACAGGTAACAGGAAAAATGTGTAAAGGTGAACTGTCCCATTAAGATATATACAAATACTCTGTTCAGAATAATAACATGTGCCTAGTTTTTTAAATTACATCTACTCCTCTTGCACAGTCGATAAATGCAGCTAACATACAGCAAATGGTTTGTCAGTGCCAGGAAAGCGGAACATGTCAAGACCTCTTCCTGTGTGGCATTGATAAGTTTTATTAATAAAATAACTACTGGATGAAAACATTACCACCTTCCCGTTGACCTCTTATCATCTGTTGGCCTGTTGTGTTGAGCATTAAATTTCGAAGGCGAGTGCTTTTGCATGATGCACGGAAGGAAATGACATGACTTAAATGTAACATACTTTATCTGTGGTTTCACTACATGTGAAAGAAATGTCTCCCTTTTGAGGATTTCAGCGTATTATTGTAGTTTCATGAGCACTACGTTTGTACTTGTTTGTGAAGATCAGCGATGGAGAAGTAATATACAGAGCTGTTCAAAAGATTAAAGAAAAGTATAATTCAGACACCAAAAATAATATTTCAATTCATCTAGTTTTGGCCCCAAAATTAGTAGGATGAAATGATTCACACTTCCCTTTAATCGATGTCCCCACAGTGTTAAATGACAAGGGAAAATACTGTGTGAACTTGGAATGTGAACTTGTTTTCCAGTCCAAAACCACAACGCATGGTCAAACCACTGGCCTGTTCTCATTCCCAACTCAAATACCACTGCTCTGCCAGTGATGTCAGTCTCAGACACTGATGCCAAAAGGCACCTCTCGTGGTAGTATGATATGCTGCCCGGCGGTGTCAGTTTGTAGTGCAGCTGTCAACGACATAACGTAATCCATCCATCCATTTTCAACCGTTTATCCAAAGCTGGGTTGCAGGCAAAGCAGCCCAGACGACCCTCTCTCCAGCAACACTTTCCAGCTCCTCCTGGGGGATCCTGAGGCGTTCAGATACATAGTCCCTCCAGTGTGTTCTGGGTCTGCCCCTGGGCCTCCTACCAGTAGGACATGCCAGGAATACCTCTAACGGGGGCGTCCAGGAGGATCCTGATCAGATGCCCAGACCACCTAATCTGACCCCTTTTGACACGAGGGAGCAGCGGCTCTACTCCGAGCTCCTCACTCTGTCTCTAAAGCTGAGCCAACCCACCCCACGGAGGAAACTCATGTCGGCCGCTTGTATCCACAATCTCATTCTTTCACTCATTTCCCATAGCTCATGACCATAGGTGAGGGTTGGGACGTTGGGACTACATAACATAAGGAGCTGGAAGCTCCCTATATCGCAGGTGGGTTGGATGGGTCCAACAAACCCCGGACTTTCACCCTGGAGCTCGCTCTTTGCTTCTCGTGTGAATGTTGAGCATAATCATGAATTTTTTTTCTAAACCTAACCACATGCTTTTGTTGCATGAGGAAATAAACATAAGTACAAGGTGTTTCACCAGCGTTGTACATGTATTTAAAAAATCTAACGAGCAGAAACTGCACATTTTGAATTTTAAAAAGACACGACGAATGTAACAAGCGTAAATTGACATGCTGTGCCAGAATGTCAGCAACAGATGCAGGAGGTAGCTACTTCAAATATTTGCTTTATTACAGCAACTAAATGCTTACAATAAATATGAGTAAGGGTCATAATAATCCGCTTGCACAGTCGTCCTATGGCTGATTTCGGGGGAACTGCCCATTGGTCCGACAGCCCATTGGTCTGACCATATTAAACCCATTGTTCTGAAAGTCTCGTTGTTCCGAAATCATCATGATGCCCTGTGGTTAAGGTCTGGTTAGGTTTAGGCACAAAAACCACTTGGTTAGGGTCAGGAAAAGATCATGGTGTGGGTTAAAATGAAAAAGAAAGTGACAAACACAAAAGCCGTGAGCCTGCTTCACCTCAGTCCTTTCCCAGCTGACCCAGAGCCGGTTGCAGCGCACCATCAAGGCAGAAATATGCCCGCCGGGAGCCGTTGAGCACCGCGGACCGTCGGACTAATGGGCTGTCGGACCAATGGGATGTCGGACCAATGGGCTGTCGGACCAATGACATGGACCCGATTTCAGTGATGGCGGCCTGGATATTCCTTGATCTGATTCCTACAGTGCTAACTCTACACAAAATCTTTGTTTCTATTGTGAAGTTTGAAGAAGAGCTTTGCTAAAGCAACACATTGCCTGTTTATTCCAGGTTGTTAGAGGCCTTACTGTGTACATGAATCCAATACACATTAAATAGTGTTTACTGTCACTTAACCACTGCTTTCCTGTTATTCAGACATCCAGCTCTGAGAAAAACTGCCTCTTCACACATGACTAAATTTGGCCTGAATCTACACCATCATTTGGCTGAAGTCCTGTCAGCATAATAAATTTATGTCATGCTCACACACAATAACACTAAAACAGGAACCAGTTCCTATTTCAATCTGCACACATTTTGCTGCTAAGCTTCCGGTTTCTTTTACCACAGACTGGTTATTGCTTCTTTTCTTATTCAGCTGTTTCTCAGAGGGATCTTTGTGTCTTTCTGCCCTTTCATTTGTCAGTCTGGTTCTACCACTGTGCAGCGTTTTGTTCTCCGTGTGCAAAACAAACCCTTCATACCAAAATGACATCTGTTTCTAAACAGGATTTTCTACACCCTAACAGCATCAAAGACCATTCAGACATATAGCTTAGTCCTCTCAGACATCTGACCCAATCACACTTTTGTGGCAGGAGATTCCAAACTTTTTAATGGCAGTGTGTACATGCAGATTAAATTGCACTGCTATTACAACAGTGAATGGGGAAGATTTAGATTAACACAATAGCATGGGA